TCAGTGAAAGGAAGGTGTTCCTGTTAAATTCAGGGTTGTGGCTTCCCCCTCCCCAACCTCCCAGAAAGATGCTTAGTCTACCTTTTCAATGAGAGTCTGTATATTTACTTTTTATTTTTATCGTTATTGTTGTCTGTGTTTTTATTAGGACAAAGAGTTATTTGTAGTTTCAGTTCTTAAAACTGAAGTCTATTCCTTTAAATTGTCACGTAAAGGAAATAAAAAAAAAAAAACTATTGAGAGGTAATTCACATACCACAAAATTCACCCATTTTGATTATATAATTCAATGATCCTTAGCAAATTTTATAACCATGATTACAATCCAAATTTAAAACATTTCTAACACCCCAAATAAAAACTCAGTGCCATTTTAATCACTTTCCAGTCCCACCTCAGCCCCAGGCAACCAATAAAGAAGGATGATTTATCCTTAGTCAACTTGGCTTCGCTACTAAATCCTCGAAGTCCCTTTTGGGATTCATGAATGACCATTATTCCAGGAAAAAAAAATAAAGAAAACAAAATCTTTATTATTTTTTTCCTAGTTACAAAAGTAAGACACGCTTATTGTGAAACAAATTCAAAATTTAAAGAAATATGCTTTTAAAATATGTGATTTGTAGCAGAAAAAAACACTGTTACATTTGGCATGAAATATTTTAGGTTTTTAAGTAATATTAGAAACAGTACATATTTATAGTGGAAAATTGAGAAAACACTTAGAAGCACAGATAATTTAAAAAACACTTAATTTCACTATCCAGAGATAATCCCTATGCACTAGTTAGCATTTTCAGTGTAACGAATGGCCTCGAAGATCTCAGTGGCATAAAACAATGAGCGATTATTTCTTGTTTACAGTTTCATGGGTAGGCTTGGGCAGCTCCGTTTCAGGCTACAGGCCAATTTTAGGTTTGCTTCATAGATGTCACTTTATTTCTTAAACTCAGTGATTACGTGGAACATGTCTACTCAGAGGATTAGTAGAAACGTGATATTTCTTCAGGACTGCAATCAGATCTGCCATACTTCATTGCCCAAAACAAGGCACAATGGTGGAGAAGTCCAACTTGAATGGGCAAGGAACTATACTCCTCCCATGGTGATACTTGGAGAAGGGAGCCAGTATTTGCTAAACAGTATATCAGTACCCTGTAAATATTTTGATGTCTATTCTTTTCATTTTCCCCCTATATAATATTTATATAAAAGCTTTTTTTCCTGTTATGAAAATGGTTTCTAGTAAGTACATGAAAAGATGCTCAGCATCACTAATATTAGGGAAGTACAAATCAAAACCACGATGAAATACCACTTCACACCCAATGGGATGACTATTTTCAAAAAAACAGAGAACAACCAGTGTTGGTGAGGATGTGGAGACTGGAACTGTTGTGTACTATTGGTGGGAATGAGAAAGGGTGCAGTTGCTGCAGAAAACAGTATGGCAGATCCTCACAAAATTAAAACTAGAATTTCCATATGATCCGGCATTTCCACTTCTGTGTGTACATCTAAAAGAATTGAAAGTGAGGACTTGAACAGATGTTTGTACACCCATAATAACATTATTCACAATAGCCAAAGGGTAGAAGCAACCCAGGTATTCACTGACAGACAAATGGATAAAGAAAATATAGTATATTCAAATAACAGAATATTTTTCAGCCTTAAAAAAGGAAATTCTGGCTGGACACGGTGGCTCATGCCTGTAAATCCCAGCACTTTGGGAGGTTGGGGTGGGTGGATCACCTGAGGTCGGGAGTTCAAGACCAGCCTGTCCAACATGGAGAAACTCTGTCTCTACTAAAAATACAAAATTAACAAGGGGTGGTGGCCCATGCCTGTAATCCCAGCTACTCAGGAGGCTGAGGCAGGAAAATTGCTTGAACCTGGGAGGTGGAGGTTGCAGTGAGCTGAGATCGCGCTATTGCACACCAGCCTGTGCAACAAGATCAAAAAAAAAAAGAAGAAGAAGGAAATTCTGACGCACGTTACAACAGGGATGCACCTTGAGGACATCATGCAAAATGAAATAAGCCGTTTACAAAGGACAAATACTGTAGGAGTTCCCTTATATATATAGTACGTAGAATAGTCAAATTCATAGAAACAGAAAGTAGAACTGTGGTTACTAGGGATTGAAGGGAGGGAGAAATGAAAGTTATTGCTTAGTGGATATGAAGTTTCAGTTTTACGAGATGAGAGAAGTTCTGGAGATGGGCAGTGGTAGAAGGGGCACAACGATGTGAATGTGCCTAGTGCCACTGAAGTGTACACTTAGAAGTGGTTAAAGTGGTAAATTTTATGTTAATTTTATCATGCTAAATTTTTTTTTTGCTACGTATGGTTTTAATGGCCTTGTTAACATTTCCAAGTCAATAAACATTATTTTGTAGCATTATTTTTAATGATTGCTTATATAGTTTCTCATAATGTAGATATAATTTACTTAATATCTTATTATGGGGATTTATTTTTTTCATTTTTTTCTATTGTAAATAATACATTTTTGTTCCCACCTCTGATTATATTCTTTAGATAAATTTCCAGAAATGGAATTTTGAGGTCAGTGGTTATGAACATTTAAAAATATTTAAAAATCTGGTTTCTTACTTCTTCAATTACTTTCCACTATGGCATGTTACTACCTTAAGAATCCCCTATGAAAAATGTTATTCCATAGATATTTTAAATTGGATTTAAAAGATTAGTAATGAAGTTGAACCTATTTTGAGGTGGCTTTTCTTTTTCTGTTTCCCTACCCATCTCCCCACCTGCATCTCTCTCTCTCTTTTTTTTTTTTCCTGTATGTCAATTGCCTGCCCATGACATTTGCCCATTTGTGTTCTGTTGGGACAGACACATACTAAGGGCAGGACAATGGCAGCAGTCTACCCTGGGTACAGGCCATATGAGGGTATATTGTATGTAGACAATTTAAAACCAGTAATGAAATCTGTTAAAGGTCAACCTACAGCAGCATTATAAACAATGTCAGCGATAAACTACACCACCCAGCCCTCTGTTTTCTTTTCTTAATGGTCTGTACATTATTTATATATTATAGTTATTAAACCTTTGTCTGACATTCATGATACTTGCCTTTTCATTTTGCGGATAGTTTTTAAATTGGTTTGAGTAAGTGATTCATTCACATATTTAAAATTCAAAAAGTATAAAAGGATCATTAGGGAAAAGTATCCCTCTAATCTCAGAGACCTAATTCTCCTCCTTTTGGACACCATTGTGATTAACTTCCTATGCATCCTGCCAAAAAAAAATTATGCATAAATATTTCTTCTCTTTTAAACAAATAGGATCACACTATAATAATTTCAGTGCCTTGCTTTTTCTTTCCACTTAGTAATAGAGCTCGTTCTATATCACTACCTTAAAAGCATCTATTTTCCCCCTGTGTAGTAGTACTCCATTGTATGCACGTGTCATAATTGATTTGATCATTTCTCTACTGATGGACATGAACCATTTTGCACATGTACCAGTGTATCTGTAAGTAAGTTCCCAGTGGTGGAATTTTTGCCTTAAAAGATTTGTGGGTTTGCACATTAGACATTGTTAAATTGTTTGTTCTACAGGTCTTATCAATGCACATTCCTAAGAGTTATGAAATACCGCCTGTTTACCACAACCTGTTCCCCGCCGTGATATGGATGTTTACTAGTCTCTCAGTTGAGAAACATATTTTCCTGAATTATTTGAAAGTAAGTTGCTAACAACATGACACGTTATTGCTAAAGAGTTCAGTGTGCACTTTCTAAAAAATAAAACCATTCTTCTATATAACCACAATGCCATTATTAAAGCTACAAATCTTAACAATAATTTCATAGTATCATCTACTAGCCAGTCCCTGATCAGATTTCCCTAACTGTACCAAGTCTTTTATAAATGTTTTACTTTTTGGGACCAGGAATATATCAAGCTTCATCTGGTATGTCTGACTGATATATGGCCTTAGTTTCTTAATCTAATTCCTTTAGCCTTTTCAGCCATGATATTAACTTTTCAAGGAGACCAGGCCAATTGTCCTGTAAAAAGCGTGCCATTCTCAATTCATTGGCTTGTTTCCTCCTGATGTCACTAACACTGTTTGGGCCCCAGGGAAATGCTTCTTCACATTGTATCCTTAGAAGCCAAAGTGATTGTTATCAGTGCCCTGAAAAGTTAGATTTGTGCCCACTGCCCATGATGGAGGGACACTGCTTTTGCATGCAATGAGGAGGTGAAGGGTAAAAGTACTTAGGGGACAAGACAAATTAACTCACCAAATCATTCTTCTCAACATGAATGCAAAAAACTCTTGCGTAAGGAAGGATTGCCTCCAGTACTACCAAGCATCCATTTTCTTGCTTTTCTTAACCTTGGAAGCTGAGATTCCAGAAATACTCATAATTTTGTGTGGTGTTTGTAACAGTTGCACATTTTAGTATCAAACAGTTCATATATATGTGTGAAGTGTAATATCTAATATTTATATGGGTAACTGGATGACTATTGAACACTTGAATTGTAAAGAAACCCCATATTCCTTGTAAGTATGTAATAAGCTTTCACTAAGTTTTCAAAAAAAGGAAATATACCTGCAGCTTTATTAAATACTTTTCATTTAACCCTATATAAAATTTTGATTTTTGTTAGTGGCAAATTGTATTTGCCTTTTAATAGATTATTTTTAATATTTAGAAGAAAATTAATATTTTTGGAAAGCATATATAAAAAGTAAATTTAAATTTTATATATTTATATTTATTTAACCTATATTTTTGACAAAATATTCAAATTTTAGCTATCTAAATACCATTATATTTTATTTTTAATCTTTTAGATTATTACTATCTACAGGGCACAATTCATGTGAAATTACTAATTATAACAACCTAGTTAGTGATTTTAGTAAAGTGAAGGTAGCATACAGTAATTTTCTCTCAATAAACATATAACTTATAAAACTACGCATGTCTATTTTATTACAGAGTCACAGCATAGCAATACAACTTTCACATGTGCACAATAATAAGGCCAAGCACAATGGCTCACACCTGTAATCCTAGCATTCTGGGAGGCCAAGGCAGGTGGACTGCCTGAGCTCAGGAGTTTGAGGCCACCCTGGGCAACATGGTGAAACCTCATCTCTACAAAAATACAGAAATTAATTGGGCATAGTGATGCATGCCTGTAGTCCCAGGAGGCTGAGACAGGAGGATCCCTTGAGCCCAGGATGTTGAGGCTGCAGTGAGCCATGATCATGCCACTCACTCCAGCTTGGGTGACAGGGCAAGAGGCTATCTCAAGAAATAAATAAATAAAAATAAAATTAATCATAAAATACAGTTGTCTTTGATATTTTTCCAAGTTTCCGTTATCTTAAAAACCTTGTTTGAAAACCATAGCTTTGGATGTATCTTACGTGCATTTAATACACATTATAAAGGTATATTTGTCAAGATATGAGAATAAAACATACTTTATGAAAGTTGGTAGTTCACAAGTTTTAAATGTCTAGACAATGGCATTGAGCCTATGTGTGTTCTTGAGCTCCAGACCCTGAAAGTGTGAGGTGAGCTGGGACACGCACACTCAGGATTCCCCACTGGGTCTGTCCTCAGGTTTCATTACTTGGTTAAGGCTGATGACCCCTGGATCTCTCCAGTGGTAATGTACAGTTTGTCTTTGTATTTGGTCAGTAACTGGTGGGTGAGACTTTGCGCTGTGTTTTAGCATCCGTTGGCTATCTTTGCTAAATCAGTTATTGCCTTGGGGACTGGAAAAAGGTAACTTTTTTTTCTAATGACAGTGTTGCTTCTACATGTACTAGATGACATCGTTCTGTAGTAAACAAAAAGCTAGCCTTGGCTTTGTACTTTCCCTGCCCTAGACTTGGAATCACCTGGATCCTCAAAGAGCCTCTCAATGCAATTTAATCTGAGAATTAATTGTCCCAGTTTGAGTGATGCTGAACATCATTTTATTTGTTTAAGAGCCATTTGATTTTCTTTTCTGGAGCTGTTTGTTGAACATCCTTTGCCCACTTTCCTTACCATTTAGTTTTTTAAAAGTTTGAAACATACTATCGTGGCAGCCACAAAAATGCACTTTTCAAATCTCCTGCTGTGGGGAATGTAATTGAATGACATCACAGCTACTGCCTTCTGAAAGCACCTCTGAATTCATACCAAGACCATGATTTCCAAGGCTGATCCCAGCCAGTGGCTGGGTATGACAAGAACACTGTTCCTGCAAAATAGGAACTTCTGATGGGTGACCTTGACTCCTTATGGATTGTGGATCTGGTTGGAACTTTCTTAGAGCTACTCTGCAGTCCAAGGCTCTGCTATCTAATCCTGCTTCCTTCTCTTCCTTCAGAGGTATCAGATCTGCACTGTGGTCCCTTCAGGCATTTCCCTAATAAGTCTCTTGCATGTTCAACCCCCATTTTTGGCATCTGTTTCTTAGAAGACTTGAACAAACACAATCATAAACATAAGAGCATATAAAACACATATGCACACTTTACATAATTAAAAGAAATAGATGTGTAAACCTGCCACCTAGGCTAAGAAATAGAAAACCTGGAACTCCCTCCTTTGCCCCATCACTTCAAAATGAACCATCGTTGTGAATTTTGTGCCATTATTCCCTCACTTTTTGTTATTGCTTAATTGCTGACATATGTACTATCAAGCAAATCGTTGTTAATTTTGTCTATTTTGGAATTTGATACCAATGGGATTATACTTTAGGTATTCTTCTGTGACTTAATCTTATTATTCACTCAACATCCCAGGCCATCAACAGAACATTCAGATGTGTGCGCTTGAAAGTGCATAACTAAAGTCAGTTGACTTTGGTGTTTGCTCAGTTTTTTCTATTTGAGTACTTGTTTCATTATTTTGTAGTAATTAATTGTATGTTCTTGATACTTTTTAAATAATTATGAATGTTGAAAATCTCTTTATCATTTGGGGCTTTACTTTTCACTCTGTGCATCTTTTGATGAACAGATGAACAGAAGTAATCAAATATATCTATCTTTTCCTATGTTGTGTCTTCTTTAAGGAATTCTTCCCTACTCTAAGATCTTAAATTATATTTTCCTGTATTGGGTATTAAACATTTTATTTTGTATTTTATGTTTTAATCTTTAATGTACCTAAAATTGATTTTTAATCTGGCATGAAATAGGAATTGAATTTTGTTTTTCTTACTGAGGTGTAATTTACATCTGGTAAAATTTACCTTTGATAGATCTGTGAGTTTTGCCAAATGCAGGTGGGTAACCACTACCACATCAAGATATAGTACCATTCCCTCACTCCAAAAAGTCTCCCAGCCTCCTTTGTAATCAACTTCTTCTGCTTCTCGGCCTTTTGGCTAATACCAAGTGTAATCAACTTCTTCCCCTGCCTCGATCCCTGGAAACCACTGCTCTATTTTTGTCTCTATAGTTTTGCCTTTTTTATAAGGTCTTATAAATGTCAGATTCCTACATATATGGCATTTTTAGTCTTCTTTCACTTTGTAAAATGGATTTTAGATTCATCCACATTGTATGAATCAGTAGTCTGTTCATTCCTTTTTTATTGCTGAATAGTATTTCATTGTATGGTTGTAATATAATTTGATCCTTTATTCACTGAAAGATATTTGGGGTGTTTTCAGTTTTTGATGATTCCCATCAGCAACATAAGAGATTTCCCTATCTCTGCATTCACCAGCACTTGATATTATTGGTGTTTTTTTCTTTAAAAAAAAAAATTCAAATGAGTGTGTGCTGTTATCTCACTGTGGTTTTGATTTGTATTTCCCTTAGAATTAATGACATTGAGCATCTTTTCATGGGTTTATTTGCTTATTTGCCATTTGCATCTCTTCTTTCAAGCATTTGTTTTTTTTAAAAAAATTGGGTTATATTTGTTCTTATTGAATTATGAATTGTAAGAATTCTTTACCATATGTTCTAAATAAAAGTTCTTCATGAGATAGTGGTGTGCAAACATTTTGTCTTAGTCTGTCATTTGCCTTTTCATTTTCTTAATCATGTTATTCAAAGAGTAGATGTTTCTAATTTGATAAAATCTAACTAGTTAATAGTTTTCTTTTAAGGATCATGCTTTGTGTGTCCTATCTAAGAATTCTTTGCCTACCCAAGTTCACAAAGATTTTCTTCTAGATATTTTTTAGTCTTAGCTCTTGTTTTAGATCTATGATTTATCACAACTTAACTTTTTTATATGGCATGAGGTCAAGCAAATTTTTTTTACTTTAATTTTATTATTCTTTAAAAAAATTTCTTCTAAAAAAAGCCTGGATATGTGTGCAGAATGTGCAGGTTTTTTATATAGGTATACGTGTGCCATGGTGGTTCGCTGCACCTATTGACCCATCCTTTAAGTTCCCTCCCTTCAATCCCCACGCCCCCAAATTATTCTTTAACAATAAAATATCACCATTCCAAAATATTCTATTGAAAGTTACATAAGATATATCTCAGCTACTTCACTCAAACTTTTTTGTTTTAGTTTTAGGTTTTAAAAACTTATTTATTAAAAAAATTTTAATTGGTAAATAATAATTGAATAAATTTGTGGGGTACAATGTGTTGTTTTGATGTATGTATACATTGTAGGAGAGTAAATCAAGCTAATTAACATATTTATCACCTCACCTACTTGCCGTTTTTTGTGGTGAGAATTTTAAAAATCTACTCTCAGCAATTTTGAAATATACAGTGCATTATTACTGACTGTGCTCACCATGCTATGCAATACATCTCTAAAACTTATTCCTCCTAACCGACACTCTGTATCCTTTAACCATCTCTCCCTTTCTCATCTCTCCCACTAGCTACCTCCCCACTGAATCTCCAGCTTCCACTCTACTGGCTGCTTCTAGGAGTTTGCCTGTTTCACATAGAAATGCGATCATGCAGTGTTTGCCTTTTTAAATGAGTGAAGGTGGCTTTTTCCCTCACTTTTTTTTTTTTTTGAACTTTATTTTTTAACTGGGCTATAGGCCACAGTATAAATCAATCTACCCATTAGTCAATTTCCTTGGTAGCATGAAAACTACCAGGTAGAACATTTCCAAAGCAGAGAAAATTTTGATTCTAAATATAAAAACACTTGATGTTACTGAATTGAAAAAATAGAGCTCAAAAAAATCTTTAAGGCAGACTTGCTTTATTTTTTAAATTTCAACAAGAATATTGTTTTGGTAATTTCCTTTTTCTTTAAATTCCTGTTTACTCAATGAATGCATTTAAAAATACACTCAAGTGGGGTATTTCGTAAAAAGATTCATTTTGATATAGGCTCTGAGAAAGCTTCTACAATTAGTGTTGTCTGCATGCAGTTTGCCCATGGCAAGTCGAGTTGACATAGCAGGTGCACCTAAATTTTCCCCTCTTTGAAGATGGTTACTAAGATTTATGGGGTGTGTGTGCCTGCATATGCATGCCTGAAGAGACCTCATGGAAATGAAAAGCCTCTTTCACTTTGTGCACATGGAAGCCAGCCCTTTGATTAGTGACTACTGTGGAAGAGGCTGCTAGCTAGGGCCTCCTGCTGTTCATGCTGCTACCTCTTTTTCTCACCTTTGGCCTGAAAACTTTGTCCACAAACAGCAACTCCATTCAGCACTGCTGATCCTGTCCCCAAAGTCAGCCTTTTTGGGGAAGGTTCTTCAAAGTGCATTGTGACCTACAGTTTGCAATGGTAGGTAACCTTCTCAGGTGGCAAGCAGCACTCAACACTGCAGAATACCACAAGTAAACATTCCGATGGAGAAGTGATATTTTCTGTCCTCTACATAGTGGATTTAATGAGGGGTTAGAGTCAAAGTCATAGACAGAACAGAGGCAAGGATGTTACTGAATGCCCAGCATGATATCCACAAAAACTGCTGGCTGAATGCAGCAGATTATCAGGCTTTTCAGGACTGATAAAAGCCAAAACGGGCTGGAGTGCTGACCTTGAGGAGAACCTAATAGAATCCCACTTTGGCTCTGGGCTTGGCTATCTTTAAACTATGTCTTCTTTTTAAAGTCATGGAAGACAAGGACTATACACAGGGTAACTGACATCTTCTACTTCTGCCTGTGTAAATCTGTCACAACTGTTAGT